CATGTCATGTTTGAGAAGGCCCGGTTGCTTGAATGCTGGATAATGGGGAATTTACTGTACATTTTGTTTAGACTCCAGCTAAATTATAAACTATATAATTTTATCAGGTTATGTGCAGAGCAGCAGGGTCTTCAGTAGTACTTCTACCTCAGAACTTTAAAATGGAGCACAATTTCACTTTCAATTCATGTTAGGTTTATTCTTAAAGAATCATTTCTTTACGGTTCATTAAAGAAGACAGGATAAGTAGTACTTCTGAGACATGTGGGTTATACTGCCACCTCCCATTTCAAGCATGCTTCAGTTTTTTCCTAGCAAGATGGATGTCTTAATAAACAAAAATATTTGCGCTATTGGCTTTTCCAGGATGCATGCCTCGTCTTTTCTATCCAGAAACATTTACCCATTTTACTTGCCATTTTTTACTTTTTCCTGAATTTTTTTTTTTTTTTTTTTGTCTTTAATTAAGACTTCATCGGCTGCTGAGCTTTCTGTGCAGCTATCCAGATTGGCTAATCGTCGGCATAACCTTGGAGGGCGGTACCTAGAACCCGCTGGACCAAAGATGCAGGACTTGCCTGAAATGTGAGCTTAGGGCACTGGTCTCTGCTCATGGTGCTTTCACAGACTTTGTCCTATGTCAGCTAGCCGCAGAGTGCTTTCCAGGCTCAGAGCCGTGGCATTACCTCTGGTATGGCTCTGATGAGTCTGTTGATTCACTTGTGAGTGAGCCTATGCAAAGTCATGGTATGCAACCTATTTACTAGTTTTCCCCCAGTTGTAATGTGCACTAGAAGTACAGCGCATAAACACTTGCTGTGAGCCAGCCTCTAGTACTTTTTGCTTTGAGTTACTATTGGAAGCTTCCCAATTTGTCAGTTGGAGAAAGGGTTACCATGCCCTGTTATTTTGTATGACCTTGTGCTATCTCGTGCCTTTTTGGTGCACATGATTTCATTTCACCTCAGATTGTCCTTGCTTCTGCTTACAGTGGTTTGCTCACCTTCAATCATTACCCTTATGCTATTGGCATTGGTTTTGTGAATACCAAAGGTTGTTAACTTGATGTACTCTTCAGTTTCTACTGTGTAGCAGTACAGGTATGTGGGATCCCAAGTGCAATGAAATGCTTTAGGCCTCTCCAGCTCATGATTTAGTGACAGCTCTGGGACTACCTTCTCAAGGTTCTGGCACCAACAGCCTAGACCATTGTTTCCTGTTTGAGTCCGTAGACTCCATCCTTGCACGGTCAGGTGCAGCACCCACCTTCTTTTTTCATCCAAGGACGAGTTTTCAGCTGCCATGCTGAATTTTAAGAACCAGGTTGTCACTATGATTACTGGCTCTGAATGTAGACTCTTTATCTCACATTCCTGCAGCCGTTGTGGCCTGTGAGCCTTCTGCTGTGGATACCCTGTCTGAAGAGGTGTCTTATAAGGCCTTGTTCACACCAAGCGCGGAGCAGAACCGGACCAGAGCAGGTGCAGACGGGATCAAAACTGCGTCCAATGTATTCCTATGGTATTTTGACCTCCAGTTCACATCGCAGCGTGCGGATCCAGATCCAGACCGGATGAAAAAACTGCGGCAAGCCCTATTTTACCTGATCTGGTCTGCAACGCATCAAAAACGCATGCAAGTGCCTGAAAGCCCATGTTAAAAAAAAATATATATTTTTATTTTTACCAAAACCGGCCCTAAACGCGTCTGAAACGCAGCACAACCCACTGCACTGCGTGTGCAGAAACCTGACCGGATCTGGTCTGCATTTGGTGTGAACAAGGCCTTAATCCTCTTTGGATTAGTCTGCACCTGAGGAACTGCAATCTGCTGCTTTTACACCCAAGCTTAAAGACACCCTATCAGTTTCTAATAATGTGGTGTGAGACTTCTTAAAGGAGAACTATGGGGTCAGGGCTTTTCTCCATAGTTCTCCTTAGGGTAACGGGAGGACACAAACTAACTTTTCCCTCCCTTTTTCTCCTTTAAAGTAGGAGTACAGGGAAAGTACAATGGAGCCAGCATGGAATGCTGCACTGCACTGAGCTAATCGGTCAACGCTGTCTCTCTGTGGAGAGTAGTGACGGTCAGTCACTGCAACCCCCCCCCAAAGAAGTCTTGCCTCCCTTCTTTGTGTTTTAGACACCTTGTTGGAGCAGCAGACTTGGTTTTTAAGTCCTGTCTCTGGATCAACCTACTGAAGCTGTTGGAGAGTTGGTTGTCCCTGCTGGACACCCTGACCTGGAGGTTTATCTGACCAAGATTCAGTCTGAGAACACCAAACCTATGGCTTCCATCAGCAATCAGGTAGGAACCAGATGTCTTGCCATGTATGTGAAGCAGTTTCAGCCTTGTCCACCATTCACATGCCAGGTGTGGACAATTGTCAGGCATACTACCTCAGCTGGCAGCAACTGGACCCAGGGGAGTGGTTACTACAAGGGTATTCCAGGATCTCTTTCTCAGGTGGAGACAATGTTGACATCCAGGTTTAACAACTAACTGGACAAGTTTGTCTTCAGGTGCAGAGATCCTCTGGGGACAGCAGTGGATACTCTGGAGGCTACATTGGATCAGTACAGCCTAATCTACACCTAGCCTCTTCTGAAACCACCTCTTTTTTTTTTACTCCACACAAATGGGATGAGGGCATTCTGGTTCCACTCAGCTCTGAATTGACCTAGGAAGATGTGGTACTCTGACCTGCGCAAATGTCCTGTCCCTCTTTCCAGCTCAAGCTCATCAGGGAGAGATTGCCCTCCTTTTACATGGATGCGGTTCAAACTGTGAGGGTCGATGGCTCAGCTACTGCTTCAATAAAAGACTGATGCTCTTTTTTGTCATTCCTGGTGGTTCCCACAAAGGGTAATCTGTTTCTCGCTCCATTATTTCTAGGTGTCAAATATCAGTTCTCATGATCCAAGCTTATGGTTGGAAGGATAAGGTTCTTCCCTTTCTGGTCAAGGCACACTGCTAGGTTTGTAAATGTGCCGCCTAGGTTTTTGGGCATAGGGCAAAGGTTTCCCAGATTTACAAGGCTTTCATCTGGTTTTCTGTTCTCTAAGTTTTACTAGAGAGATGTTCAGAGCTCATCTGATGCCAGGTCTTTGAGCTGCAGGCAGACCCCAGTATTATATGTTATTATGTGGGCTTCTTAGCATCTCTGTTACTGTGCTGCCTACCCTTTAATGCATAATCACCGCCTCGCGAGCAGAGATCCTTCTAAAAAAATCACTTTTATTTCATCTTGGCATAAAAACAGCAGATAAGCAAATGCTTACAGCATTCATTTGTCTGCTGTTTTTATGCCAAGATGAAATAAAAGTAATTAGATTTTTTTTTTTTTTTAGAAGCATCCCTGCTCGTCTGCCAGTGATTTATGCATTGAGGGATCTTAAGGATGGACAGGAACCTCCACTGAGCGCCAAGGTCCCCAAGGCACATAAATTGGATATAAGGAGGTGGAACTGGTTAGAGTATATTGGATTGCCTACCCCTCAGTTGGACTGCTTTAGGATGCCCCATATGTTTCAGAATTACTACTGATTCTGTGTCCCTAATAATAAAGGATAAAGAAAACTGGGTTTTTGTACTTAACGGTAAATACATTTCTTGGAGTTCCTGGAGGGGCGCAGGATGCTGGGAACAGGTTATACCGGACTGGCCAATGGCTTTTTTTTATTTGTCAGTGTCCCAATCCTCCTGAGGGCATCAGTTAACCTCTATGTCTCAGAATTACTACTAACCCTGTGTCCCTTAATGCACTCCAAAACAAAGGATTTTACAGTCTGTAGAAAAATCCAGTTTTTCAGAGTTATGTTAAAGCAGAACTCCAGGCTGAGAGTTTTCTCATTTCTGTTTTGTTTAAAAAAGAAAAAAACTCACTGAGGTTTATCCCAGGTCCAGATCACTGCTGTTTAGTATATCATTCATGCTTTTTTCATGACGAATAACACAGCTTCGGATGTACTCCTGGCTTGCTTCGGCACATGCTAGTGACGATTATACACCCCCTTTTACCCTTGCTCATGAACAGAACGCCTTGTATTCTGCATGGTATCAGCGCCACTGAGTGAAGTTAGGTATACATGCTTCTATTTTCTTCATTCAGGGCTTGTTCACACCATCTTCGGAGCAGATCTGCAAACTCAGTGCAGTGCATTTTTACTTGTTTTTTTTTTTTTAAAGTTTAAAATTTATATTTCAGGTGCAGTCTTGTATGCTTTTCTGATGCGTTCCAGTCAGGGGCTTAACTAGAAATCACAGGGCCCCATAGCAAAATTTTGTATGGGGCCCCGGGATTTCTAGTTATACCCCTTGCAGAGCCCACTCGAGATCCCACCTGAGGGTAAACTTGCAGGCTCACCCTCAGGTGCGGGGGTCCCTTGTGTGTACCTGTGCCTTTTTAAGGGAGGTTGAGCTTCCTCCTGACAACCCTGCACCCAATTTAATCTTCTGCCCCATGTGCTCCAAGATGGAAACTCTCATAGTTTAGAGTTAGGACCGCACTATATGGAGGTGCCTTGACGTGGCTGTGCGGCTTTCACATTTTCTGCAGAAGACGTGTATCTAAACCTCTGCTTTTAACCTTGGTGGTTAGACAGGTTTTTTTAAATTATTTTTTTGCATGCTGGCTGTCAAGTGTGCCGGGAAACGTTTTGCTCTTTGAAGCCCTTCCATGTGCACCTTGCTGTAAAGCTGGTAACAAATTGATGAGTGTGTTTGCCATTTGTTTTGCTCCTCAGGTGAGCTGGTCGCTGCCTCCTCTTCCTCCACGGTCGCTGATGGGCCCCGCCTCATCTGTCGGCGGGCCCCGCCTCCTCCACATCCGCTGCTGGCTCTCATTGACTCTGTGGAGAGGAACGCGCTGCTGCACAGATTACTGTCAGTGATCTGAACAGCGGCGTGTTCGTCTTCAGCCGCCACTGAAAGCCACCAGCAGAGGATACCAGGCGGCCCGAACGGCATCAGGCCGGGCCCCATAGCGGCCGCCTTGGTTGCTATGGTGATTTGTTATGCCACTGGTTACAGTGCATTCCAGACCAGAGAAAATAAGGCAGTATTTTTTTATTTTTTTTTGGTCTAGACCGGAACGCACTGCGCTGGTGTGAACAGAGCCTAGAAATACCTTAGGGATACATTGGGATTTTTTTTCGGTCCAGGAACAAACTGTTCTGGTCCAGACATGGTGTGAACAAGCTCTCAACCTGCCGGCTGAATATAACAGATTCCTCTATCAACACTTGCAAGTGTTGATTGAGGAATCTCCTCTTTTCCTTGTATTCTGAATAGGGCTGTTACTGATTAAAATTTTCGTGTTCTATTAACTACCTCCCGGCCAGCCGCTGTGTATACACGGCCTGCCGGGAGCTTCTTGGATGTAACTGGGCGTGCAGATCTCTGCTTCATCAGCTTCTTCAGGGGGGTCCTAGGTGACATTAGGGGTCTTGAGACCCCCTGATGTCTCCATAAAGAGGACCTGTCACCTCTTTTGCTATCACATAAGGGGGTTTCTCAGCCCCCTCTGTGATAGCAATAAAGTTAAGTGAAAAAAAAAAAAATAGTACAAAAATTTAAAGTCCCCACCCCTACATACACGCATGTAAACATGCGTCAGGTGCGCATACCTGCGAAAACGACGATTGCACCCATTACGCCGCACATGTTACATATCGCCGCGAACGTCGGAATGAGAGCAATAGTTCTAGGGCCATCAATCACTGATAACACTAAACTGATGAGCGGTAAAAGCTTTTAAAGCGTCGCCTATGGCCAATTTTGGGTATGCTAGTTTTTTGCGAGTGCGCGCAATTTTTACGCTTGACATGTTTGGTGTCTATTTACCCGACGTGACCCCGTCTTTTATATTTTACCAAAAAAGTGGGTAATATTAGTTGTTTTATAGCATAATGTAAAAAAAATTTTTTAAAATTTTCAGTAATTTCTCCTGAAATATAGTAAAAAATAAAACCCGCAGTGGTGATTAAATACCACCAAAATAAAGCTCTATCTGTCCCCAAAAAATGGTATAAAATTCATTTCAGTACAGCGTTGCATGACGGAATAAATGTCAGTCAAAGTACTGCAGCGCTGAACACTGAAAAATGGCCTGGCCAGGTAGGGGATCTAAACACCTGGTCTTCAAGCAGTTAATCAAAAATGTTTTTAATCTATTAATTTCGATTAATTATAACGCACATACAGATCCAGCTACATTGGCCTATACACATACATCACATCAATTAAGTAATAAAATAGGATCACACTAATCCAGCACGTTATTAATCTCACGTGCCCCACTCAATATGGCCGCTGCTTGAGTGGGACAACTCAGAATAATAACGTGCTGGATTAGTGTGTTAGAATCTTATACGTATTACACGGTTGCAAGTAGTGAGGCCGATATAAGCGGGATATGCACTGTTAGTAGCGGTAGCACTAGGTAGTAACCTCACAGTTCAGAAGTCACCACACGGATCGTGAGTAATATTAGTATTGGAGTTATAAATTGGTAGTAATTACACAATTCAGTAATCCACAGTATAGGGTATAGGCAATAATCATCAATGGTTATCTCCAGGCATTTATAGCATAGTCCAGAATCCACAGTATAACTCAGGAAATAAGCAGCAGGCTCTATTAGGAGTCCCCACTAGTTATAAGGATCAGGATAACGTTTGTAACAGGACTGAAGGTAGGGTCAGATGACCCAGGCTACTTGCGGTTTCTGGATGTCAGCAGAGTGAGACGGAAACCTGCGATGCAGGAGGGGTTGAGCTGGAGACTGAGAGCGGCGTCTTCAAATGGTGGAGAGATCCGTGACAGCAGGAGAACCAGCACAGCATGCGACTAGCTGGTATACACTGCACTATAGAAGCACATCACCGGACTCCTCCCCCCTTCCATTCGATAGCCGACGGAGCCACTTGGGGAAGGGGGGAGGAGTCCGGTGACGTCACGGACATCCCGGAAGCCGGAGGAGAGGTGAGTACCGATCAAAAGATATTTAATCGATCAAAAAAATTTACGATTAATCAAGGAATCTTTAATTTCCGCAGCCCTAATTCTGAATACCCAAACAGAGCTGGCAGCTGATTGGTTGCTAGCCCTGTTCCGCCAGCAATTTTCCGACATGCTCCTTCAATCAGCTGATCAAGGGGATGCCAGTCGGAAAGGTGCCGAAAGCAGCACCCACACATCGAATTCGAAACTTTCGGCCAGTTCTTGATAAACTGGCCGAAAGTTGAAGCACGTATACTGGGCTTGAAAAACTACAGCAGTGAGGGGACCATTTTTGCAAGAAGTAGCTGCTGCAGGTAAGGGGATGCACACCAATACACATATCTCATGTGTTTGGTGCTGTTGACTCAAACATTTTTATTTCTCAACTTCAGCTGTAAACTTTTTAAAAGCAGTAGTCCTGCCTAAGAGCAAAGAGTGCAAATGCCACCTTTTACCTTTTACCTATTAATACCTGATTTTCCTTATACCTAATTTTACGCTGGGACTACCTTTGGCACTTTTCACTGGACTGGGGGAAGACAGTTGGAAGTGGATCTTGACCACGAAGGCAGTCTAAGAGATTAGTCTGGCTACGGTTGCCCATACACATCATCGGAGGACACTTTTCGTCCGATGATCGAATCGTCGTACGATTTTCGTACAGCAGCCCGATTATCGCAAGGGTGGATCAGCGGTAATTCAGAAGAAAGCACCTGCACGAATTGCGGTAATCGACCGCACGTATTTTCGTATGTGCAGTGTATATCGTACGGAAACGCCACCAACCTTGCGAAAATCTTGTGATCGACCAAAGTTTTCTAACCTGCTAAAAGTCCATCGATTTGTACAGTATTTTCTGTTGTACACTGCCCATCAACCTTACGAATATCAGACGAAAACGCGATCGCATACGATCTATTAAGGTAGGGATACCTTAATAGAGGCGAAAGGCAGCTTGTGGTATCTGCTCTTAGGTGGAACCCAAGATGCAAAATGGTGGAAAGGATCAGACACAAATTCCTATTGATAGGAATATAAGAAAAAAGATTTGAAAGATTTTGTGTGAAATGAATATTGTAAATGGTAATGTAAAACCGTGGTTAGACAATACCTATAAGTGAAAGTATTAAAGTGGCTCACCAGACCCTCTCCTCGCAGATCCTCTTCCCCACAATTAGCAACATGTTATTGCTCTGACCTGACAACATTCAACACGTTTTGGGGCCTGTGATTTTATAGTTGTGTATATATTTTATAGTTGTGTATATACAAGGGCAATTTCTGCATAAATGGGACCTGGATATTGTTTCAATAATACAAATAACATTTGCTACTGTTTAATTCCATGTTTAGCAGCAATGTGTACAAACTGATTGTGTCAAACTTTCACTTGAATGACAGCGCACTTTGCCGTGGGGAACGTATTCAAGTCTTCAGCTAAAAAGCCGCAAAGAAAGCGATGATGGTCCTATAATGTGGGTGCGCCCAGGAGAACAGATGATCCCTGTGGCTGACATGCCAAAGTCTCCATTCAAAAGAAAAAGGTATATAGAGTTTTCAGCCTAGTCCTAGGAGATTTTTGTTAGTAGCTATGCTTGCAACGATAACAGCACAGGGCTTATGTTCAAAAAATAGTTTATCCTCTTCAGGACCGGCATGTTATACCCCACTTTTTATTTCGAGGCCATTTTTCACTTTTCAGTGCTGTGATAGTTTTACTGAGAATCACTCTGTCACACAACACTGTGCGCAAGTTAATATAAAGCACCCTTTTGGTGGTATTAACTTTTTTTTTTTCACTAGGAAAAGGGGTCAAAGACCAAAAAACGTTCTCTTTCTGTTGTAGAGAATCACCCCCTCCCCCCCCCCAAGTGACCCCTTTTTGAAATGTATGTACACCCCAAGGTGATTTGATTAATTTGCCACAATGTTTGTGCACTGAAGAAACTTGCTGATATTGAGGGGGTTAAAACATGGAGCATGGTAATGGTGCATTAGATAAACGTTTAATATACAGGTCATGCACAAAAGGAGGCGGAGTGGTTAATCTACAGTTGGAGATTAAGACTTAAATGTACAGTGCTATGCTAGAACTACTGTGTTGGAGGTGACAGGGTCAATAAAGAGTACTGGGCCTGAAGCCAATGTCAATGCTGTCTGCTTAGTAATTGAAAGCATAGTTTTTTACAGGGGAACCTGGAAAAATGTGACCACTCATTGGTGGCACGGTAGATCCAAGCAATGCATAGTACACACACATTTACAAGGTACAAGAGGGCATGTATAAGTGAATATGAACAGTACAATGGATCCTGCACATGTTGGCTTGCATCCACCATATGTTGTCAATGGGCCATTTATTGGGATCAGCTGTAAAAAAAGCTGGGAATTACCTATTTGCACAAACTTCAATCTATTTAACTTAATAAACGTGTTAAACATCTTGGTTGGTTAATTGGTATATGCCGAGGTTACGTTATGCTTTAACATTTATTACTTTTTGTGTTTTAGAACTACCAATGAAATAAAAAACCTGCAGTACCTACCTCGGGCTAGTGAGCCTCGGGAAATGCTGTTTGAAGATAGGACAAGGGCACATGCTGACCACATAGGACAGGGCTTTGAGCGTCAGACCACCGCAGCTGTAGGTGTACTAAAAGCAGTGCACTGTGGAGAGTGGTAAGCAGCTTGCAAATAAACAGCAGTGTGTTGGCTTTTATTCTGTGTATTGCATGCATATTGATTTTGTTCATTTTTCATCTCAATTAAACATAAGGCATAAGAGTACATCATTATTTTCTTCTGTATTTTACTGGCTCTTTAGCAGATATTATAGTGATGGTCCGTACAGCACTCGGCCATTACATGTGCTATATTAAAACAACTCCGGGAAAAAAATGTATTCATTCTTGCAAATAAAAAAGGTATACTCACCCGATCTTCCTTGCCGGCTTGTTGTTAGACTTGTCCTTCCAGGGTCTTCCGCGCCCCCCCCCCCCCCCCCCTCCGCTGCAGTGGTCTGAGGTCCCTGAGTCATCATGTCCAATACACGGTGCAGGGCGTCTCAAACTCAATTGACTTGTCAGCTGGCTGCGGGCCACATAGCATCGGCTCGCTGGCCTGTACTTTGAGACATCTGGTTTAGAAGATGTTGGGACACCAAGGGACATACCATTGCTGTGTAGAAAGAGAGAGGCTGGAGGAAGAGCTATGACAGCTGGCCAGCTCTGAGATTCAGACGAGTCCCTTTTAGTCCCGAGATGAAAACGAGCACTTAACCCTTGCAGTGTGGGGGTAGCCCCATTGCAAGGGTTAATAAAATGTTTTCCCAGAGTTCTTCTTTAAGCTTTGTTTTTATGGCTGTCTTAAGGGTTCTTTTCAATAGATTCAGCGTTTACCATTTCAGTGTTATCAACGTAAAGTATACAGGCTAAAGTGTAATATAGGGGCTAAATGCAGGAGATTTTTTTGGTCAGAATAAAAATGCGTATGCAGTACATTTATTGGCTTTCTAGAAAACCATTGGACAATTGGATAAACTATCTTGCCGTAAAAGGGAGCCTGACCTCATTCAAAGTGTCATAGATACATAGAAGCCAGGTTATACTGCCACCTACAGGAGGTTTAGAACTCTGAAAAAGAAAGATTGTAAGCAAGCCCTTGTATAACTCCTCTTCTGCTCACCGTGCCTTAGTTTACTAGTGCCCTAGGAGGACATCCTTTTCTTCAGCTCTTATTTTGCTGTGTGGAATTTTTTTCCTTCAATCAAGTTGAGACCTCTGGTAGAGCTTGTCTCTATATTCCAGCTATCTAGATCAGCGTTGCCTCAGCTTAGCTTTGGAGGCTGTACCTGTACCTTGTGGGGCGAGCCTGGAATGTGACCATGGAGCACTGGGCCCTGCATTGTGGCACTTTCCAGACTTAAGTGTCATGTGTTCGTTAGCCACGGAGCTCTTTCCAGGTCCAGAGCTGTGGCATAGCCCTAGTTGTGACCCAGTTTCTGAAGACTCCCTTGTGAGTAAGGCTATTTAGGCTAAAGCATTGGGAGCTACCTCACTGTTTGCACCTTTTCAAATTTCCTGCCACCACTGGTTTTCCCGCAGTAAGGATTAAGGCCAAATGACTAGCCGATGCCATCTGTTGGGTGTAGCAATGTGTGCTCAGCGCACTTTTTCCCCTCATTCAGCTTGGAGAAAGCTTCATCCTGCTGCTTTTCCTGCTCCTGAAGCGCCACGTAGATCTCCAGTCTCCATTGCCAGCCTTACCTCAGTTTACCTAAAAACCCTCATCAGCTGCCCAGGTTTATGAGTACCTGGGGCCTTTCCTCACTTGCCTAGGCCTGTAACGATACCTTTTTAAAGCAAATGTAGAGAAAAACTTAGGAGGTAACAGGTTATATTTGGAAACAATATAACCTGTTGGGGAATTTTATCAAAACTGGAGCAGACAAAATCTGGAGCTGCTGTGCATGGCAACCAATCAGCTTCCCCCTTTCATTTCAACAAAGTGAAGAGAGAAGCTGGTTGGTTGTCATGGGCAAACTTCTGTGTTTTTAAAATTACAACTATCTTTAAAGATGGAGAAATGACAGTTGACATTGCTGGCTTATCTGTAATAGATTGCCCATGGGCTGATTATCCTGATCCTGGCTTCACTACCTAGTGAGACATTGACCTTAAATATCTTTCCTGGACAGTTGTCAGGACACTTCACTGACTGTACGCTTCTGACTATGTGACAAACAAGCTACGGTAGTAATGCCAGCTTCCATATTTTGGTCTTTACACTTTCTCTTTTCCTCTAAGATGAACTCCAGGCAAAACACTAAATAGTCAAAATACATTTGCTTGAACTGTTTAACCTGCCGAAGGCTATGTAATTGTTTTCAGCCATGCTTGTAAACCAGAAACCCCTGGCAATCAGCACAGCTAGACTGGTGACCACTTCTTTATACTGCAGTTAAGCATTACAGCTCAGTCACCCACCTGCCCCCCGGACTGTGATTGGACAACAGTTAAGAAGCAGTACACTGAAGAGGTCATTACTTTACTTCACCTGTAAGTATGTTCACATACTGAGCCTATATTGGCTCAGATCAATGCCCCTACCTTCCCCATTGTGAGGGCTGCTGTGTAATGATTTGCCACCTGGCTTCCTGATTAGCCGGGAAGCCGGGCAGTGTGTAAAGACCCGCCACCCGGCTTCCCGATTAACAAGAAAGTCCCCTCTTACCTTAGTATGTGCAGCCTGTCACCCCCGTGGGCCTCTCCAGCGAGAACGCGGCCTTCCTCCGGTACCCGGGAAGCTGGCTTCATGCTCCCTCCTCATCTTATGAGGAGGGAGCATGGGACCGGCCTCCCGGCCATTCAGAAAGCAGGGCGTCGCGTCATTACACGGCGCACGGCTTCCTGATTGGCCAGACGGCTCTGGCTGGGTACCGGAGGAAGTCGGTGTTCTCGCTGGAGAGGCCCCGGGGGTGACAGGCTGCACATACTAAGGTAAGGTAACCTTACCTCACAAGTCGACGAGAGAGCATGGAGCCGCTGCCAATCGGGAAACCGGGCAGCGTGTAATGACACGCTGCCCGGCTTCCTGATACCGGAAGTACTCGTGCTAGGCATCGGAGCATTTGGGCGAGTACTCGCCCAAATACTCCGAATCGGCACTGGTATCGGTGCATCCCTAGTGTGTGTGCGTGCGCAGCTTGGACCATTGTGTTCTCTATTACAAACACCCCCATTTCATAGTGATCATTTCTTTTCAGGTGTTAAATATATGAAAGCAGAATTTGTATTAACCCTTGCAGTAGGGCTACCACCGTGCTGCACTGCAAGGTTTACTGCATCGGTTTTTGTCAAAAAACGTTATACTCACCTGATCCAGCTTGCTCTTAAACTGGTCCAGGAGCCTCGCTCCCTCTATGCTGCAGCAGTCTAAGATCCTGTAAATCTTCACATTCTATACACAGTGTATAGATATGAGGACACTGATGACATTCCAATGTTGCAGAGTAGGAGAGAGGCTTCAGTGGCCGAAGAAGCAGGCAGCCAGGCTTGGTGGTCCAGGTGAGTCGAACTTCAGCACCTAGACAAAAATGACCACGTAACCCTTGCAGTGTGGAGGTAGAACAATCTTGCCTGGAGGAGTTCTTGAAGTAGTTGGTATTGGAATTGTCATGTATTATCATGTCATGTAATGGTAAAATAACGGTTTGTTTATTTCCCTTTCTAGGAATGAGCAGCCTCGGATAACCAAAGATGTAATATGTTTTCATGCTGAAGATTTCTTAGAGGTGGTACAAAGATTGCAGCTAGACCTGCATGAACCCCCCTTATCACAGGTAAGTGGACACTACCATGGAGACAGTCATTTATAACACTGGACTAAAGGGAAACTGGTTTAGGCTTTCCTTCTGCAGTAGAAAAAATAGATACTCTGGTTCTTTGCAGCAGCTGAGAAATTTAGAAAAAATGCAGATGTGCATGTGATTTCTCTGCAGTTTCTTGGGGTACTTATCCTAGCACCCCCGGCAACTAGAGATGCACCAAAATACAAATTTTAGACAGAAAAAAAATAGTCAGGCCCAAACTGAAAATTATTTTTTTTCCCCCCAACCTTTTAAAAAAATGTTAACATCATTTTTTAAAATTATATTTTACACACACACACGACTTACGGACATTCCGTACTTATGAACCAGGGTCCACAGTTCTCCTAAATGTACCGGAAGCTGCTGTGGCTGCATTGGCCTGTGTCCCTTCAAATCCGCTCTGCTCTCCCGCCTGTATAGGTGGAGGCAGCGGGGACTCAGACCGCTGCATTGCGCCGCTGCCCCCCGTACCTCCGCTGCTGTCCCGGCCTCCTCTTCCCCCGGTCCGTCGGCTTCTCTTCCCCGTCCGGCCGCGGCTTCTCTGCCCTGGCACCTCTTCATCTGCAGCCATACCCAGCCTGCTATTGGATATTGTATAATGCAATAACCAATAGCAAGCTGGCTATTGCACCCGCCCACTGCACTGCTCAGCATGGGAGGACCTGATAGAGAACTTTCTCCTTCAGGCCCCTCCTCTGCTGATTGAGAGCAGGCAGTGGGCAGATGCAATAACCAGCCTGCTATTGGCTATTGCAATGTGAAATATCCAATAGCAGGCTGGCTATTGCTCAGAGCATTAAAATAAAAAAATTAAGTTTAAAAAAAAATTAAATTTTAAAAAGACAATTTAAAAAAAAAAGTTAAATAAAAATTAAAAATGCAAACACAAAACAAAAGTTTATAAAATCGAAAACTTTTTTTGGTGTGTCATTTTAAATAAAAAAAATGTTTTTTATTATATTATCTTCTGAACAACACTTAAAAAATTTACGTGTTCCGACTTGCATACAAATTCAACTTAAGTACAAACCTAAAGTCCCTATCATGTATGTAAACCGGGAACCGCCTGTATATCTTTTCTCCTTTTTTTTATTTACTGTCGGGGTCTAAACAGACTCTAATATTTCCCTTTCAAATTAGAAAGAGAGAATGAGGATCCAGTGTGCGGAGAACTCGGCCTCCTGTGACAGCTGTCTCTTCCCTGTGCCGCCCTGCTTGGTGCTGGTCTGTGTCCCCTCCGATGCCTCTGCTGACACAGGCGGGGGAGAGTAGCAGGGATCAGAGAGGACACAGACATATGCTCTTGGGCCGGATTACATGAAGCAGGGCAGAGTCTAGTCCACCAGTGTTCCTGGGACTATGTTTTTGGCTTTCTTAAAGTCCAACTCCTGCTAAAACCTTTTACGTGTTTGATGGAGAAAGGGGGGTTAGAACCTCTGTCAACTCTATTACTGTCTGTTCCCATTTAGGAGATTACACCTCATTTAGGAACAGCAATTTTACAGGAAATATCCCCAAATATAGCAGTTTATCAGGTGAACCACTTCTGTTATTACTTGGGCCTGACAATCCTTTTTTTGTTGGGTTTTTGTATGAAGCATTGTTTTTCACTTTGTTTTTCTTCCACTAACCCTGTTTAAGGTAAGAAGGGTGCAGAGATCAGAACAGTTATTGGTTTTGATTGCTTATGATTGTATTTAGGGACTACATGGATTTACTTTTGCTATTGAATTTGTGTCGCTATTTTTTAGATGCTGTATATGATTTCATTGGTATAGCTTGTCCCTACGGTTAGCACTTCCTTTATGTTTTAGTACTATGGGCCTTATTTCATTGTTGTTGGTGGGTGGGAACAGAGAATCTATAAATGGCAGGTCTTGCATGGAGGTACCTGAGAGATCTAAAGAAATAAGTAGGTTACTGAGCCTACCAGGTTCCACATAAAACAGGAATATCCCACTCGTGGTAAATCAACTAGCCCTTCGAGCAGGGCTGGACAAATCTGAGAAGCCAGGAAGTCAATGCTCCTTAACAATTACAGCTGGCGCCTAACTTTACAGGGTTTTCTCTAGTTATCAATGAATCTGGCTCCTGGAGTGGACAGACTGGCTCTTGAATTGCAAGTTAATTTGTCCTGCCTTAGAGGATTCTGTAAAGGGAGATAGGCATACACAGGAAAGTTAGGATGGAGCAGATCTCTACAGTGAAAGCACAGAAAGCAATACAAATCTGACAGAAGATCCAACACCAGCTCAATGCTGTCCAAAAAAAGCTCAGCAAGTGGCTCTCCTCGTCGCATTCAGCTCTCATACTACAAATATATGTATTCCATTTAATACAAGTTAGCTGTAATAATCCAGAATGCTTGATGGATGTATTTATGTTCTATAATGACCATTTACAGCAGGACTTGAGCATTCTTTTTTTTCAGCCCATGGTCAAAGAGGAAAATGTGTAAGGAAGTGGTTGTGTATTACTACGGTTGACCCTGGTAAAATCTAGGAGTGTATTTGTAAAACGTTTGCAGAGCTGGTCACTCTGTGAACTCCTGTGTTGTAGATTTGCACCTCATTATGGCAACAAGATGGAGCCGAGGAGCATAGGAAATGTCAATGCTTTTTGGCTCCATCTAGTGGCCATAATTTGGTACAACACAGCCTGAAGATCTCCGTGAGTGTTTTAATACACATCCAAATGTATAATGATGTAAAAAAGTTGGAAGAAGGCTAAAAACAGACCCTTTTATTATAAAGCTTTATGTTCTAATGACAGAATGTAGTTGGTACACAATTGCATAAAGCTTAAAAAAAAAATCATTCACTGGTCAAAGTTTTGAATTGTTTTACCTGTATTCATCAGCATTTTTTCCCCCCCCCCCCCCAGTGTGTTCAAGGGAGAGGTGT